CGCGCCTCAGCCAGTGCACTAAAGCATGAAGCAGCGCTATAACATTTGTTGACAAATTTTCATTTCGTGGAATATTTCTTGGTGCCGAACACCTTGAAGGTAGACTCTTGAAATGGGTTTCCCGAGTTCTTTAAACGGGTCGCAGAGCCATAAATTTTGAAATTTGCAGAAAATGCTGTACAAATAAAAATGAAGTCGTTCTTATTTAAAACAGCTATTGTAGTTAATAAAATATTTTTAATTATTTTTTCTTTGCTTGAACCAATTCTGAAATTGATTTATGATACTGCAAGAAATAAAAAACCATTACCTCCTATAAAAGATGTAGTTTTAACAAAGAGTGCACAACAGCTTTCTTTGTTAATTAGGTCTAGGAAAGTAAGTAAAGTGTGTGGTGCCACAAAATTTTTTTATAGCATCATTAATTTTAATTAAAATTAAATCATTTGCATCTTAAATATTTACTTTACTATGTTATTATAAATTATATTTTATATTATTATAACAAATATAAATACTAAATTGAATATTCATTTGTGTTAATTAATAAATTTTTAATCATTAGCAGTGTAATAAATGTACTTTGTACTATAAAATAAACCATAATATATTTTTTGCTTATACTAACAAACTACATACTACAACATAAGAGAAACCACATCAATGTATTTCATTGGTTATATTATATTTTGGTTATATTGTTAGTTTCATAGATAGATGTAAAATGAAACTTGAAAATAATTGCAAGAATATCACTGTTTTGACTAGTCACATAGAGATTAAAATTAATATTTAATGTTAATCCTAATATAAATAACCATGAACTTTCAGGGTTGGTGATATGTGTAATTAATTGTATATTATATTTGTATTGTGCATGTGCATCTAGTCTTACAAATACTAAGACTTTCGTCAGCACAATGATTGGAAAAACAGATGTATTTGACATCGGCGTTGGAGTTCACCAAGGCTCGATTCTCAGTCCACTGTTATTTATAATTGTGATGGAAGAATTCACAAAACCGATAAGCTCTGGTGACATTTGGAATCTAATATATGCTGATGATATCGTTTTAACAGCCACGTCTGAGCAGAATGCAGCACAGATGTTTGAAGATTGGAACACCAGACTCGCCGATCATCGATTCAAAGTCAACATCAGCAAAGCCAAAGCAATGAAAACTGGGGAACCCATCCAATCCACAGCTACTGGACGATGGCCCTGTTCAGTTTGTAAAGCTGGTGTAGGTAACAATTCAATCAAGTGTCAGCAGTGTAACCAGTGGTGTCACAAACGTCGTTCAAAAATAATTGGTACTTTATTTAAAGTGTCCAATTTTGTTTGTCCTGCTTGCATCAATCCACGATAACAAATTCAAAATAGCAATGTTTCTGAAGGCATTAAAATAGAGAAAATCACGTCGTTTCAATATTTAGGGGATATTCTAGATTGTACTGGAACAGCTGAAGCTGCGGTTCGAGCACGCATACGTGCAGCCTGGAATAAATGACATCTCCTTGCCTCTATATTGATACGGCGTGACATCCCACTGCCACTACGATCAAGACTTTATAAATTTGTGATACGTCCGGTGTTGTTATATGGTGCAGAAACATGGCCAATGACAACCAAACTGGAACAACAACTTCAACGAATCGACATGAAAATGCTCTGATGGATGCAACGAATTAGTCTGAAGGACCACATCAAATCTACCGAAATCTTGCGTCGTGCTGGTTTAGATGATATAAAGGACGAATGCCGGCAACACCGTCTGCGGTGGTTTGGCCATGTCAAACGAAGTAGAAACAGTTTCATAACTTCTCCTACAGATGTTGAAGTATCTGGCATACGTCCAAAGGCCGTCCAAAGAAGTCCTGGTTGCAAACAATCGAGCAAGACATGAAAGCTTTAAATTTAAATGAAATGGATACAACTGATCGTCTAATTTGGCGCAAAAAGTTGATGGCAAAGTCTCTGGACGCTATACGAAGATCGATTGATTGATTGCATGTGCGTCTATATTTAATGTGAACTGAATGTATGCTCACAATATATTTAACTCTATATAAATAGACGCAGAAAATAGATGCATACATTTATATATGCTTCTTAAACCATATTAACAAATAACCCTACTAATGCTTGTTTTTACTATCCATTGTTCATCTAATCAATTTATTTCACTATTTTTAAAAAGATTTGACTTTATATGCTCCATTCCTAATTTTTAGGGAATATCAATTATCATGTGAATAATTTTTTTCTTTAGTAAGTACACAGTTTTAGTTTTTGTTGGTTGTCACTGAATGACACTGTCATAAAATGTCTCAACTGATTTTGGTATGCAACCTAAATGTTTTTATGGTGTTTACAGTAACTGTATAAATAGGAAACTTTCAAGCCCAAAGTCAACTCCACACACATTTATTCATTTCATTTTCCTACATGATTATTTTTTTATATTGATCGTTGTGATTATTTTTCACTCACGCTCATTTATAACTTTTTAAAATATTCGTGTTAATTTAATTTGCTGTAAAAGGTAACATGCAAGCAAGTTGTTGAAGCATTCATCAAGCGAATAGAGGAGGTGAATGATGAAATAAATGCAGTTGTCTACAAGAGATATAAAGAAGCTTTAATTGAAGCTGATAATGTTGATCAAATTCTCTCAAATGATACCAATCCCGAAGTATACAATGAAATTAACTGTCCATTTCTTGGTGTTCCAATTACCATCAAGGAGGCAATTGCCGTCAAAGGTTATAAATGGGCATACGTTTTTATTTATCACCTCCAACGCTATGCATAGGGCGCTGGGAAAATGAAGTATTATTATTATTTGGTGGTGAAAAGAATTCTAATAATTTAATGACGACATTACCGTTATAGATATAACATATGATTTTCAAACGTTTGTGATAACAATAATAACTACTATCAAAAATTATATGTACTCATGATTGCATCAGGTTATATAGTTGCATTATATTTGAAACAAATAAACACACACACACATATGTATTTATTCATTTTTATTTATATTAATATCAAAAATTTCTTATTTACCAAAAGGCTTAGTCTAGCAATCGCACTTTCATTGAATAAATAATTTAAAATTTAACATTGTTTTTTTTAAAAACATCAAGCTTGTGTTTTTCAAAACAAAAAAATTTACAGACTTTACAATTAACAGTGTATACGATTTTTTAACATTCCCTACACAAATATATTAAAATTTGTAATTGTTGGATATTGGGCACTTGAAGGTTGCCCACAAACTTCAGGTCTGTTGTCAAGGAAGAATGTAACAGCAGAGATAGATGCTGATACTGTTGCTTTGCTGAAAAAGGCGGGAGCTATAATCGTAGCCACCACGAACATAAGTGAAGTTTGTATGTGGTATGAATCAAGTAATTTGCACTATGGAAGAACAAAAAATGCCTACCACAGAGGAAGAATTGTCGGTGGAAGTTCAGGTTGGTCAGTGCTGTGTAACTTGATCTCAAGAGCTCGAATTATTTTTAAGTTGTAACGCTTTACTGTTCGACCACTTTTGATGTTTAAAATTAACAGACTATTACGTTTCTTTCTAAATGGGTTTTTCCAACAATTTAGTGCTAGTTACTTATTTTAAACGGCTTGTTCAGGGCTTAATTTTTACCATTATTCTGATTTTGTTGACACAATCAAAAATTTGTAAATGTATTTCATTAAACAGACCAAACTAAAGTCTAACCAAAATCTATAAAATATCAACTAGTGGGTTTAAAACGTGATTTTTTCACAGTAATACTGCAGTAATATTACTTATTACTGTAATATATATAGTACACAGTAATATATATATATATATATATATATATATATATATATATATATATATTGATGAAAATCACAGCATGTCCGGCCTTAGTTAACTTCCAATTTAACTTTTCGATTTTTCTAACAGTTGATCGTAAATCATTTTCAAGTTTCTCTAGTTTAAAACCAAAATTTTTGTTCATTTTATGCATGATAGAACAGAAAAGCTTTTTTCAGTTTTTCTATACCATCTACCATTTACGATCAACCGTTAGAAAAATCGAAAAGTTAAATTGGAAGTTAACTAACGCCGAGCATGCTGTGATTTTCATCAATAATTGCATTTCTGACAGTCTTAATCCAATATATATATATATTAATATATATATATATATATATATATATATATATATAACATTTAAAAAAGAACTAAAAACATATTTGTTCACTGTTAAACTTTGATAATTTTAGTTAAGTTTTTTTTTCTTATTAATAGTATTGTAAACTTTTATGTTTATATAATTACAATAGTGCCTTTGAGAACATTTAATTGGCGCTATATAAGTTTCCTTGATATATATCTATCCTTTAAGTAAAGCTTTTAACTCTACTCCTCGTCTAGTTGCTCGTGCCCCTTTCTTTTCTCATATATCTCCATATCTTGTTCTCTTGCACTGGCTACCTATAAAATATAGAATAATTTTTAAAATTTGCACGTTCATGTATAAGTCTTAATCTAAATTATTTCCTAAGTATTTATCAGATATATTAATTGAACCTAAACGTCCCGGTTTACGATCGTCTTCTCGCTGTTTCTTAACTCGTGTTAAACACTCTTTTGCCAAATCTGCTTTTGCTTTTTCTGGTCCTTTTCTCTGGAACTCTCTACCTACTTCTCTGACTACTTCTCCATCACTTGCGAAGTTCAGAGTGGATCTCAAGACCCATCTTTTTTCATTTCAAAATTCATTGAGGAGCGCTGTTGAACATCGCGGAAATAGCGCTTTATAAGCTAATTGATTGATTGATTGATTTATATATATATATATATATATATATATATATATATATATGTATATTATATATATATATATTAGGATTTAGACCATATTCGATACAGTTTTTAAGAAAATCAACCGCGTTAATACAATTATTATATTTATACATTAATTTTTCAAGTTTTCTAATTAAAATTTCATCATAGATATTTAATTTATTAAGTAAAAAATTAAAATTATTATTGTCCATGTTTATTAAAATAAATAATTGCAGAAAGCTTTTTCGATATAAAATATATCATCGTCAGTGCAAAATATTTTAAATAATAACGAAAATTACCGTTTATAAACAAATGACGTCATACCGTTTAACTTAATTTTAAGCGCGAAACATTTTAGAAAATACTATTATTAATTATTAATTATATACTATATATTTAACATATTGATAAAATTAATTTAAAATTATTTACATAGATATATATTAGAATTAAACAAAATAAATTAAAATTTTAAAATTGCTGAAAAAACGACCATAAAGTAAATCAACAATAAAAAACAAAAATCAGCCATATCATCATACTACAATATTATCATCATACTACCATATATATTATATATATATATATATATATAATTTATTTTTGTATATAATATTTTGTAAAGGCTTGAAAGTTTTACGGTCGAGCTTTTCAATATTTCCAACAGTAATTTATAATTATTATCAAATTTAATAAAATTAATAAGAAAATCTTTGGTGGTCATCGTGGTATATAGGTCCTATTTCGATTTTACTCATCATCACAATTCTCTGCGCAGGACAAAGTAAAATAAAAACACTTTGCACACACAGAGAATTGCAAAATTTTGGAATATATAAGCGCTAATGATTAGTAAAATCAAAATAGGACCATGAGCACCAACGATTTTTTATTAGTTTTAATAAATTAGATAATAATTATAAAATTACTGTTAGAAAGATTGAAAAGCTCAACAGTAAACTTTCAAAAGCTTAAAATTCGGTTGATTTTATCAAATATTGCACACACACAGGCGCACAGACACACACACACACATATATATATATTCTGAAGAGTTTCAAAATATCAGAATTTCTAGCGTGCAACTTTGTCAATGGCTGATCGTCGAGATTGAGATTTTTTTTTGAAGAGAGATTGGTTTCTGAAGAGTTCGAAAGATAGTTATTGAAAAGTTGGAGATGTTGCTGAGAAGAAAATTGTTTCTGAAAATTTCTGAGTTTGCCATAGTCTCTAAAGTATTTGGAATATCAACGTGTCGATATTCAGCCTCTGCGTCCATTTAAAGAGTTTGACAAATTTAAAGCGTTGAACTGTAAAGCGTGGCGTGATTTTTTTAGTGTACTACGATTAGTAAACACGTTTTAAAGAAGGATTGTCAAAAATTGTATACTTCCTACAAACTTAACAGCATTATGGCGTGATTTTTCGTTTCAAACCAATCAGCGTTAAAAAGAGGTCTTAAAATATGTATTCATAATTTTTTATTATTTAATTAATGACTTGGCATATACGACGTCCTGGGTATGACATAAAACTGTATCCGCGCTGCCTTGCGTGCTTTTGAGCGAAAGGCTAGGCCCACCGCTTATAACTGGTGGTTGTCGTCAGGATGGGTGTCCGGATGTAAAAACTTTTCCCCAAATTATTCCTATGCCATCACAAAGAAAAACAACGGCCCCTAGTCCCCAGCAGGCCTTAAGTGGTCAAGGGGTGCCAAGAATCCCTGGGAAGTATGCAATAGCGGAGGGATGTTGCAGAAAAATTCAGAATGGCCCCTCTATGGTACTTAGACTTGGAACGCTCAATGTTGGATCACTGACTGGCCGCAGCATGGAAATCACAGAAATGCTCGAGCGTAGAAGGATTGACATCTGCTGCCTTCAGGAAATCCTATGGAAATCGAATGGTGTCTGTCATGTCAACTCAGACAAAAAAAAATATAAACTATTCTGGAATGGTCAAAAGACGGCCAAAAATGGTGTTGGAATTTTTGTCAGAGAACCGCTAGCCCAAGAAGTACTGGATATTAAAAGGATTAATTCACGTCTCATGTGGATCAAGCTTCGCATAGAAAAGCAAACAATGATTATTTTTTCTGCATACGCACCACAGACAGGCGAATCAGAAGAAATGAAAAATGACTTCTGGACTGCATTCTCTGACACCATCTCAACAATACCAAAATCTGAAAAAATCCTGATTGGAGGCGATTTCAATGGCCACGTTGGAGAGAAAACAGATGATTTTGACAACGTACATGGCGGTTTTGGCTATGGAAAACGGAATGAAGATGGCAACCGCATCCTTGAGTTTGCTGAAAGTCACGGGTTTTGTTTACTGAACACATATTTTAGAAAGAGGTTGGAACATCTCATAACATACAAAAGTGGGCCATCAGCCACGCAAATTGATTTCTTTGCTGTCAAGCAACCACACCGAAGGCTGTTTAAAAACGTCAAAGTTATACCAGGCGAATCATGTGTTGCCCAACATAGACTCCTTGTGGCAGACCTGGTTGTCTAACTGTCAAAACATAAGTCTAAACAAATGCCTCGGAGAATCAAAACGTGGAAGCTGAAAAGCAATATTCATCGAGAAAAATTTCAACAGATTGTCGCCACACAGTTAGACCACCAATCGCAAGCCAGTACAGATTGGAGTACATACAAAACCGTTTTAATGAACGCTGCAACTACAGTTTGTGGGGAAAACTGGTACAAAACGTCAGCATGAACGTGACACTTGGTGGTGGAATGACAGTGTACAAAATGCAATAGCTGAAAAGAAAGTTGCATACAAGCAATGGCAAAAATCAAAGTCTGTAGATGACCATAACATTTTCCGTGAGAAGAACAACTATGCAAAACGTCAAGTTGCACTGGCTCGATGATTCTTGAACAAGATGAGATCAAGCTACAGTGGAGAGAATACTTCAATCGTCTGTTAAACGAAACAAATCCCATCAATGTTAACTTTGACGCTCCACCCATCGAAGATCCGATTCCAGACATCACTTTAGAGGAGCTTACAGAAGCTCTGAAAGCTATGAAGGATGAAAAGGCAGCAGGGCCCTCGGGACTCACAAATGACATTATCAAAGCATCTGGTACTGCAGGTATCCAAACGTTACTACAACTTTGCCGTGAAATCTGGAGAAATTGCTCAATGCCGACTGAATGGAACTATAGCATGACAGTCCCGCTATACAAAGGCAAAGGTGATCCATTGAACTGTTAGAACACTCCCTGAAAATTGTCGAAAAAATCATTGAGAGAAGATTAACGTCGTGCATCACAATCGGAAATTATCAATTTGGTTTTCTAGCGGGGAAATCAACAATTGATGCAATTCACATCCTTCGGCAACTGCAAGAGAAGTACCTCGCAAAGCATCAACAACTATCACACATTTTTGTAGACCTTGAAAAAGCATTTGATCGAGTTCCCCGTGAAGCAATCAGATGGAGTCTACGTCGACAATTCATTCCAGAATATCTTGTTCGACTTGTGATGGAAATGTATACGAATACTAAGACTTTTGTCAGCATAACGGTTGGAAACACAGATGCATTTGACATCGGCGTTGTAGTTCACCAAGGCTCGATTCTCAGTCCACTGTTATTTATAACTAGGGATGCACCGGATTCAGGTTTTTCAAATCCGGCGGGGGCCGGACTTGGCCGGATTTGAAATTTAAAAACCGGCCGGGGCCGGATTTTAGTTACCATTTTACATACGTTAGAAAAAATACTCACATTTACGGTTATCTACATGTTGAACATCAAAAAATAACACCAAGCAAATAGTTATTTAATTCAAATATATGAATAAGTTGTGTGATACGCCAAATTCTGTACACAAAGATCAGCTTATAATTTATGCATATTTGCATAACCTAAGTTAAAGCACAAAGAAAATTGTCCAGCTCACCGCACAATTAGTGATGTTGTAATTATGTGTCATGTATACCTAGCCTAACCTTTAACATACCATGTTCTTAAATTATGTGGTTATGTATCTCTCTCTCTCTCTCTCTCTCTCTCTCTCT